ATGGTAGTCAATCTTTATGTGCTTGCTTCGATCATGCTGAATGGGGTTAACCGGCAGGTAGGATGCTGAAACATTATCACAGTAAAGCCGAACATGTTTGGAAATAAAGTAGCCCATGTCCACAAGTAGAGAACGAATAAACAAAGTATCCTAAACAGTATAAGCCACAACTCGATATTCTGCCTCGGTGGAGGATTTGGAAACAGTGGGCTGCTTTTTGGAACGCCAAGAGATTAAATTGTCACCCAAGAATATAGCATATCCAATGGTGGACTGACAGCTATCAGGACAACCGGCCCAGTCTGCATCGGAGTAAGCAACAATAAGCGAGGGATCACCGCCCTTGCGTAACCATAAGCCCTCGGTAACAGTGCCCTGCCAATACCTGTAAATACGCTTCACAGCCAAAAGGTGAGTAGTGCGAGGTGCATGCATAAACTGAGAGACCAAGTGAACAACATAGATAATATGCGGTCTAGTAATCATCAAGTACTGTAAAGCGCCAACTATACTGCGATATTCAGTACCATCAGCGAGTAATTCCCCATCAGTTAAAGACAGTGTAGTACGAGTGGGAAGGGGTGTTCGGACTGGGGTAACAGTGTGAAGATGAAATCGCCGCAGCGGATCAGATATATATTTTTGTTGGGAGAGAAATATACCTGTAGAAGTACGCACAATCTGAATCCCAAGAAAGAAGTGGATATCTCCCAGATCTTTCATGGCAAAAGTCTGAGAGAGTAAATGAATAATAGACTGAACAAGGGAAGTAGAACTGCCTGTGATTAGAATATCATCAACACACAAAAGTATACATATACGATGTGAGCCACGGTGATACATAAACATAGAGGAATCAGACCGGCTCTGCACAAATCCATGACTGAGGAGATACCCACTAAAACGATGAAACCATGCACGAGGAGCTTGTTTGAGCCCCTATTGTGCCTTACGGAGCCTACAAATGTGATGAGGAAAAGATGGATGAAAAAACCCTGGAGGCTGACACATATAAACCTCCTCAGTCAAATAACCATGCAAAAAGGCATTCTTGACATCTAACTGACACACCCCCAGCCAAAAGTAGTTGTAAGTGAAAGTAAGAGAAGCACGGTAGTGGGTTTGACAACAGGGCTAAAAGTTTCAGAAAAATCTACCCCGGCCTGCCGATTAAAACCCTGAGCTACTAGGCGAGCTTTATGCCACTCAATAGACCCATCAGAATTGTATTTTGTTTTATAAGCCCATTTACATCCGACCACATTTTTTGTGCTATCACTAGGTACTAAATCCCAAGTCTTATTACCAATTAAAGCATTGAACTCTTCAATCATAGCTGCCTGCCATTTTAAACTTTTATTCGCTTGAGAAAAACAAGTAGGATCGAGGGGACACTCCACAGAGCTAAGAGATAGAATAGTTTTGGGTTTGTAGATGCCGTCTTTGGCTCGGGTGCGCATGGGATGGGCATTTTGAACTGGTGGAGTGCTAGACTGGCTCGGTGATGGACTGTCGGGTGGGGTGGGTGCTGGAGTAGAATGGGGCTCAATGATGGGGTGGATGCTGGAGTATTAGACTGGCTCGGTGATGGGCTGGGTGAAGAGAAAAGTATGGGAGTGGAGGAGGGAGTATGATGGACTGGACTGGTAGGAAGAGTGCGTGTGGAGGGACTCATCTGGGGTGAGGTCGAGTGAAGTGGGGGAGGGGAATTGGGCAGTACGGTTGGATGGGAAATGGTTGGTAAGGCTGGCGGGTGAAATGGAGATGAGCAGGGAGAAGTCAGGATAGGAGGGGCTACATTTGTGGGAAAAGAGGGTAGTGAGAAAAAGGGTTGAGTTGAGGGTGTGGGCGAGGGTGAGGGAGTGGTAGAGAGTGTAGGATAGGGAAAAGTAGTCTCACGGAAAACAACGTCACGACTGACATAGACGTGACCGGTGGTGGAATCAAGACAACGGTAGCCTTTGTACCCCGGGGCATAACCAATAAAAACACAAGGAGTAGAACGTGGTGATAGCTTATTTCCCGAGGTGGCAACTTTGTTAGGAAAATAGGTACAACCAAACACGCAAAAAATTATAGTCAGGAATTTTTTGAAAAATTTTCTGGTACAGACTAAGACCCTGTAGAATAGGCTTGGGAAGACGATTAATAATGTACGTGGCAGTGTAAAGTGCGTCAACCCAAAAGGAGGGAGGAAGATGTGCATCAATGTAACACCCCCATTTTCCCCAACCAAAAATACATTTAAATAATGATTTATTCAAAGGAATTATCAACTTTATTTGAAAACATCAGAGATACAACGGAAGTCTTAATAGGGAAATGGGTGTTACCGCCACACTCGGTTCTCACATAACCGAATGCACAGGCTAAACCACCATCCAAAAATAATCCAAGTATTTAAGTACTGAAAATTTCAAAAATAATTTAAATGTCTACATGTTCTCAAACTGAAATAAACAATAACTAGGTGATTATAAATACTAAACTACGTGATCTAACGCAGCTCTCATCATCATGCATAACCTTCATCACCTGCACAATTAAAGTGCAGAAAACAAAACAAAGAAAAGGAAACAAAAATTAGCTTTTTAGCTAAGTAAGGCCCACCCAACCCCGTAAAATAATCACGCTTGGCGAAAATAGTTTTATACATAACTATAACTTTAAAAATTTATTTTCTTCCCACAAAACTAATTTGGTGTTTAAAATAATATTTATAAACTCTTAGTAACTCACACATTCATATACAAGTATCACTTTTCAAAATATAATTTATAGCTAATCACTCTTTTTAAATATACTCAACTGCTCTTTGAAAATAACCTCCATAGTCTTCCTCTTTCCAAAACCAAAATCTCCTACTTTCTTTTAAGATGGGCGGTACTTTCGGATACTTATGCCCGAAGCCCAATGAGTCGTTGTTATTTACGAACTCATCCCGGAATCCAGTTCCCATCACTATCTCTTGAATCGAAACGGCCACTAAACTTGTTCTCTTCAAGTAGTAGTAGCCCTAACCATCCTCCACATTTATCCGGATGTGAAAAACCGACACCACGGATTTCTCCCGGGGTGCTCACCTCTTATGAAAATGTTAATTTTCATCTTGAATCAAGATACACTTCAAAATATTTTCCAAACTCTCTAAATAGTCTAAAAGGTATTTAAAAGTATTTAATACCCCAAAAGTACATAGTTTGTATTTCTCAAATACTATAGATTTAATATCTCTTTAAATAACACATATACATAATTTACAATTCACACTTAATCACATAATTCATAATAAGCATATAATACGAGGAAACAATTTTGGATTGACAGAGAAACTTACAATTTAGGATTTATCCAAAACTAGTTCCAAAATAGTATTTAATACCATATTCAAAATAATCCAATAAGGATATTTATAACTCCAGAATATATATGTAAATTTTCATACCAAATTATACATTTAAAAATATATAATTTATCCCAAAAGATTTGATCTCACAACACTTTCCAAAAAGAGGGTTTAACCCAAACAACCACTTCCCGAAAGTAGCATTTACTACTACCACCAAAATAATCAAATTGGAGTATTCTGAACCCATAATATATTTTCAATATAACCAGTTATAATAGTATCAAATCATTCTTCAACTCATACCAAATCAATCACCAAAATTTTCCAATCCCAAAAGAACAATCATAAAAAATCACAATTTTAGCCATGATAAACTGATTTGATAAATTCACCAAAAATCACACGTTCATAAATTCCCAGAAAAGCATACATCATCATACTCATACTATTATATCCGAATTATCCATAAAATTTCAGAAAGAAACTCAAATCATAGCACAAACCCTAGTTTATACAATATAGGGGCAAAATAGTAATTTTGGTTGCAATAGTCCTTACCTCGAGGCTAGCAACGAATTCTAAACGTCAAACCTAGTTTTATGGATCATTCGCACGTACCTAGGAAGTGATAGGTTCGAAGGATCTCAATTTAGGAGAAAGAAATTTAGGAAACGGATGAACGACGCGAATTAGGCACAAACGCACTTACCGGAATATTGGATTGTTTGATCTCATCATTGGCATAAAATTTCGTGCTGGATACGTTAATATTGAAGAGCTGGAAGGGATATAGCTTGAAGAGGCGGTCCTAGGGTTTTTGGAACGAGGAAAATCGGATTAGGGATGTATTTATAGTGAATTTCCGAAGTTTGAGTTGCATTAGGATACAACAGGAACGCACGCGTGCGTACCTTCCACGTACGCCGTGCGTGACCCCCAGACGCCCCAAACCTTAGTTTTTTGCCCCGTTTCTTCCCCATTTGGACCTCCCCTTTGTCTCAAACACTAAACCAAACATAATAAACGACCTAAAGACCGTGTAAACAATATGAAACACAATTTTAATTATTTCCCAAATTCTCTCAAATTTTCGGGATATTACAATCAATAAGCATAGTACGTGTTAATTCTAAAAGATGACGGTGTTTAACTTCCGCCACGCCATTCTGAGCAGGAGTGTCCGGGCAGGATTTTTGAAATAAAATACCACAATTAAGAAAATGATTAATAAATTGGTGGTTATTAAATTCACCCCACCATCACTCTGAAAATATTTGATTTTACAACCTAAAATATTTCTGTTAGTTTCTGAAAATTACAAAAGTGAGTAAAAACCTCAGATTTCCGATGCATGGGATATACCCAGGTAAACCTAGAAAAATCATCAATAAAGCAGACATAATATGTATAACCAAGATGGGATAAAATGGGGGATTGCCAAACATCGGAATGTATTAATTGTAAGGGAGCAGTAGCGGTATGTAAAACATATTGAAAAGGTAAACGATGAGATTTGACCAGTTTACAGGAAGTACATAAATGTTTAAAATTACTAGAAGGAAAAATAAAGTTTGTGCGCCGAAGAGTAGACAAGATGCTATCACCTCAATGACCTAATCGTTTGTGCCATACCGGTCCATGGGCAAAGGAAGTAAAAAGGGCCAGCGGTGAAGAGGAAACCGTGAAGGGATAAGTCCTATCCTTATTGGAAGCGTGGAGTAGAGTTGCCCCTGTTCGATTGTCCTTAACAAAAAAGGAAGATTTGTTAAAAATAGCAGTGCAATCATTATCCTCACACAACTTTTGAATAGACAACAAATTAAATTTAAGGTGAGGAACATGATATAAAGATTTTAAGTGAAGCGGGCGGCCTAGGAAAGGTAAAGTAATATTGCCAATAGTAGACACGGATAAATTAGTACCATTAGCTACCTACACATTAGTGGGGTTAGTAACAATGGATTTATTACGTAAAATACCTTCAGTCAGCGTCATATGTGCGGAGGCACCAGAATCTGGATACCATGTCACTTCGTTAGTCTCACCGGTTGGTAACGCAGCTAAGGCCGGAGAAGATCCAGAGGTGAACTTGGAACAAGTTATGGCTGAGTGACCAGGTGTAAAGCATAATTGACAAACAACGGGGGGGGGGGGGGGGGGGGGGGGATGCATAAGTGGGATCAACTGATGGGAAACCTGCACTTTTAGTATGAATACCACGAGTATAATAGGGAAACAGACAAGAATTTACCAGAGGAATATTACCCATACCTGCACCGGGTGCTCCCGGATGAAAAGATGCATGATGTCCCGCATAGTGATAATCAAATCCACGTGGAAAAGGCTGATGTCCAGGAGTACCAGGGTAGCCATACCCTCTGCCACGGCCCCGATGACCCCGCTGATGGGAGCGCTGGCCACGTCCACTGTGACCGCCACGGGTTTGTGTACCTCCTCGTCCAGGGAAGGGCTGCTGCGGACGGGCTGCTGCATTGGAGGAAGCCTGTCCAGTGGCTGCAAAAGCCTGATGAAGACACAGCCGTCCCACACATATACTGCAGCCGGCGCTCCTGGAGATCTAGAATAGGTCCCAATTTATCAAATGTAAATGTAGGAGGAACATATGCCAACCCGCCTAGTATTGATTCAAATTCCGGACCAAGACCAAGAAGGGCATACTCTATAAGATCCTTGTCAATAACCGGAGAATTAATTAGCGCTAAGGAATCCGCGGCAACTTTAATTTCCCGAAGATATTGGTCCATGGTTTGACCGGATTTTTTCTTGGTGGTGGAAAGTTGACGATTGATTTTCATAGAGCGTGCAGTACCGGCAGACATAAACTTGTTTCTAAGACGGTCCCAAATTTGAGAAGAAAATTTTAGTTCATGAACATCGATCAAGATATCCCGAGAAAGTGTGGCAAAAAGCCATGAACGGACAGTTTGGTCTATTTTCAACCAATGTTGATAATCCGGGTTAACAATCTCCCTACGAGAAGCATCCAAAATAAATGGAGAAGGAACGGGAAGTGTACCATCCAACACACCCAACAAGCTATGAGAGACCAAAAAAGATTCAAATTGTGTTTTCCACGGTAAATAATCCTCAACCGACGCCAAACGACTTGTGACAATATTCGTGACGTTTGGCGTGGAGAAAGTCAATTGAGATGCCATAGTAGAAAGATAGGAGTGTGAATTACCAGTTCCAGGAAAAGATTGAGGCGGCTGCATAGAGGGAGTGCCGATATCAAACTGTCCACCAAAAGCCGAAAGAAACCGCAAAGGAGAGCTGTTGGGCTGAACAATGGCGGGCGACGAAGAAGGAATGAACGTCGGCTGCCATGTGAAAGGTTCTGGCATCTGAAATAAAGAATAGCTGGAGATATGAGGGCTTGCAGCAGTGAAGATGGCCTGGGAAGTTATATCCGTCTGCTTTTGCACGTACGAAGTCTTGGGGCGACTGGCTCTAGGCTGCTCCAAGAATGTATCGGTGGGCGCTTGAAATGAAGAAGCCAATGAAGCTGCGCTATCCTGCGGCTGAGTGAGAGATGCGGCGAAGGCCTGGGAGGCAATCGGAGAGGTAGTCATGGCGTAGGTTTAAGGGTTAGGATCGTATAGCATGTGATACCATATGAGAAATATGACGGAATGACTTACCCTAGCGGTAGCCGTATACATGTATATATAATATTCCAAGAATAAGTAATTACAAAAGTATCCCTACGGTATTATCTACTCCCTCCGTCCCATTTTACTTAGCCAATCTTGACTTTTCAAGTCAATGTAGTATAACTTTGACCGATTATATGTTTATATAGGGAAAATATTAATAATATGAAAATGATATGAAAATGTTCTTTGTTAAAAATACTATCATAAAAGTATAAAATTATTAAATTTTGCATAAATATATTAGTTTAAATAATTGGTCAAAGTTTACCATCTTTGACTGGAAAAGTCAAAGATGACTAAGTAAATTGGGACGGAGGGAGTATTAGGGTATGCCTGAACCTGAGCTTGATAAGAATGTACGAGCTTAAGTTCAAACTTGAACGAACCAAATAATTTTGGCTCGAGCTCAACTCCAGTACGAGCTCGAGTTTGAGCTCGAGCTTGAGTCGAGTTTTGCTATTTAATTTTTATAGATTTGAACTCAAATAAGATACTCAAACTTGAACTCGAATTCGAGCTAAGAATAAAATTTATGCTTTCAAAATTATTAATACTACGTATTATATTTATGAGTACAAATAAATAAATAAATAAATAAATAAATAATACTACGTATCTAATATTTGTACTTTATCATTCTCATTTTTTAGTTCATCTCTCCTTCACTGAGATTTTTACTCATTATTTTCAATGGAAAATCATTTAAATACCCCAAATTTTGTAGCCTTGTAGGGGTATGAGGTAAGCACCCTCAACTTACATTGTGAAATAAAAAAGCATATGTTTGTGGTACTAATATTACTTTTCATACATAGTTCATAAATATTACATATAAAAGTTTGGGGTGCTTACATCACATATCTTCAAAGTTTGATGTATTTAAATTATTTTCCCCTTATTTTTACTATCAATTATTTAAAATATATAAATAAGTAAATGTATGTAAATAAATAAATAAATATAATGTGTGTGTGTCGATATAAAGTAAAATTCGAGTCAGGATGTCCTGACCAGAATCGCAGTCCAGACGTCTCTATTTGAGGTGCTTCCAGGTGGTTTTTTTTAATGAAATTTTGCGAGCATATTCACCATGAAGTTTCGATTATGCCCATAAAATTTCACCTAAAATTCACTCGAAAAGTCAGTAAAATAAATTATTGAAAAATATTGTGTCAAAATATATATAAATGCTGTGTTTTTTAATAATTTATTTAATTGACTTCCCGATCTAGCTTGAGTGTGAAATTTTGTGGAAATATTCAACAATTTCTGAAGAACATGCTTACAAGATTGCATAAAATAATTCCACATAGAAGCACTTCAAATAGAGGCGTCTGTACAACGGTTCTCCACCGGACGTTTGAATTACATGTGATAAACACACATGTTGCTTCATGAGAATCACGTCCTTTCTTGATTATAGTGATAAATAATCGGAACATGTTATGCGGGAGCCGGGAGCATACGTTTTTTGGTAGCACAAAAATTCTTCCTTGTTTAGATTACTTTATACTCCATATACTCTATTCGTCTCTTGAACGACACGGAGATTAATAAACTAAAAACTGTGTGATTGAGGTTTGTGCAGAGGAAAGAAAATTGACTGGAACCACAAATTTTTAACTTAAAATGGAAAGTGACAAAGTTAGTGAGACATAAAAAAAAGTTAGCAAAGTTTTAAGGGATGGAGAGAGTACAATTTTTTTGCTTAGTGTATCTTATTAATAACTAAAATATACGTAGTGCTATTTACCTTCTTTTTTTATACATAAAAAAATTTTATGTATAGGATAGATGATTACTATTATAGGATAGATGATAAATTTTCAGGATATTATATTTTATACATGACTAGAAGTGATATCTCATCCAACCATATGTTATACATCCTTAGATTTTAGTATTTTATGTACTCGGAACTAACACACTCAAGCTAGCTCAGGGCTAGAACATCATTATTTGAGAAAATTCTCACAAATGTACTTCTTTGGTAACCTGAACTCTAACATCTCCAGCCAGATCTCCTACATAGAGAGCACATTTGGTAACACTATTTTTCCATTTATCAGGTTTATCAACTAACTTTTTCACCAAACATGTAACTTTTGATTTGGCGCACCGGATTGTGTAATAATAAGAAAATGTAAGCCAATTCTACATATAATTTTTTTCTTTATTTTAGTGTAAAGGATCATTTTATCTATTTTTACATATAATTTTTCCTTTACTTTTTTAATAAATTATAATTATAAAATAAATTTTTCATAAATCTACAGAATCATTCAATTCAATCACTTCAGTCAGAACTCAGAATATTATAAATTTCAACAGAATCAGTCAATTCGACCGACTTTGATATTATCAAACAGGCTCAAACAAGATTTAAGTAGGCCATACTGTCCACTTGGACAAATATTTGTAAAGGGATGAATGTAAGGAGTAGAGAAATGTGGTTAGTCTAGAGCGTACGTTAATTAGTAAACAAAACTCAGGAATTGTTTTATAAGATAGAGGGTGAAACCATAGTAAAGCGTCTTTTGTTGCATACTCTTGAGGATCGATTCCGTCGATGTATTCCGGCTCAGGCAGTCCGGAGCTTGGTTTTTTCGGTTGTCTCTTGTGCACACCTAGGCTAAGGGAGCAACACACCTTTCTAGCCTCGTCAACACTCACACTCCTAACCTCACCAAGAAGAAGAAGGAAAGCTGCCTCACTATGAGCACTCTATGACAGGAAGAAAAGGTTCACCTAATGAAACTCTATGGTGTGTCTTTCACACTCCGAACAAAGGGCGCAGGGGTGTGTGTTAATAACAGGGAAGCATTTTGGCCTTATTAGCAGGGACACTCATAATTCACTGCACACACAACTCACCACTAGCTCAATAATGAGCTGAATTCAAATTCTAACGGGAGAGGCAAATATTGATAGGCCAGACAGATAAATGGGTATAGTGTAATGGCCTGCTAGAAAGTGTGTTAACCTTTATTAATATACAAAAAACGTTTGGGCCAACAATATATTTGTCACGCCCCGGATCTACCCGGACACGTCAACAACCCGCCGTACAGTACGAATAGTCAACCGCAGTCCGACTCATCCATACTATACAAGGCGTCTTGAATACCATTCACACATAGTACATCCATAAACAAACATAATGTAAACATTTATTAAAGCAGCGGAAACAGTTAATACAAGTGTTCAAGCCACACTTGGCATAATTAGGCATGCAAGCCCCCAAAGGAATTATTCAGAAAATATTATCCATGAGCATTGTTTTAAATTGTTTTCAAAACAGAAACGGAAGAAGCACGAACCACGTCTTCTCCCTTCGATCTTCCCGAAGCAACGGGCGGTGACAGCAACCTTCAAGTTCTACCTGAAACTGTGAGGTGGCCTCCCCCGTGAAGGGGAGGTCAGTACTTGGAAACATTTGACAAGTACAATAGCAACTATACTAAGTATAATCAATGTTTAAATTTCTAAGACCCTCAATTCAGGGTGATATTACATTACAGGCCATAACCCTCGGTTACCCCTTTTTGCTATTTAAATCATACTTACTTTATATGAAGTCAAGTAGTCGGCCCGTGGGCCCGTATTCATTTAGAATTCATCATTTCCATTCCCCCGTCACCGCAAGTCACGATAACCCCGTGGGGTCCCATGGAGTCCCAATTGTATAGCAAGGGCTCGGCCCGACTACATTTCTATACAATCCTCTAACTCAATATAACACATCAAAATTGTATGGCAAGGGCTCGACCCAACTACGTTTCCATACCAACCATAACTTCGTGGCAAGGGCTCGGCCCAACTACGTTTCCACGAAGATCACAAATACATGGCAAGGGCTCGGCCCAACTACGTTTCCATGCTAATCATATTACATGGCAAGGGCTCGGCCCAACTACATTTCCATGTCACCCTAGAGTCCAACTCTAATCATTTTCATAATCCAATTCTCAAGCAAATCCTATGCCTAGAATCAATTCCCTTGGGTAGCCTTTAGGCCTATCCCTAACACACCTTAGTGTTCATACAATTCAACCTTAAAGTATCTCTTGAGACTACTTAAGGTATATCTATTCACAATCCTACCTCTTAGGATTTATTTCATCATTTATTTATATTAATTCCCCGACTAGTATTTTGATACTAGTTGGATAATCTTAGAACATGCCAAGTTCCTATTTTCCAATTGACATTCCATTTCAATTGATTTTCCAACCCAAGAATAGTTTGATCCCAATATCAAAAATATCACTTTAATCCATTCATGAATTTCATACATGAAGTAAAAGTATATTTTATCACAAT